AAAAGTATTGCAAATATTGCAATATAGGCAAAGAAGACTTAGAGTGACTCCGAATGGAGTAATAAAAGCAAAAAACACATAATTTATTTCTATTTTTTGGTTTGAGACAATATAAATTACTACTACTAAACAGTAAACTATTTAAATTTTTTATTCACTAATCTAAAAATATATTTGATAAATTTTTAACCAAACTATTTATCAACTACTTAGTGGCTTTATTATATGTGCAAAAACAGACAATCATAGCAATAATATCGCACAGTAGTTGATTTCCTATATTTAAAAACTAAAAACGCAGTTCATAATAAATTCGATTTCACTAAAAAGATATAGGGGACTCATTGGTATCATATGCAACAGTAAAAAGTTCGTTTAAGGCTGGGATAAACTCAGCGTTGTCCATGGTTTTCACAAGAAAATTTATTTATTGAGACCCTACCACTTCAATTTTACCCTGATGCCTGAACTGGAGATAAATTGAACCAAATATAAAACTGAATTACAGATAAAACTGAACCACTGACAAACTACCTTTCCCACTCACTGATAAAGCGGAGATGTTAGGTTACTGTTCAAGAGCCACCTTCTATTCCCGACGTTTTAATATAGACACAAGTTTTTATTGAAGCCACGTGTTATAGCCTGTGCAATCTGGATTCAGTCACTGTTAAACTCCTGAATCCTGCTTACCTTGAACACTTAACCGTGCCGCTGTATATATATAAGATTTCTTAAATTACCCACCACCGCTGGTTAGCTCACAATATTTATATTCATATATCTTCGTGCATTTTGTCCTGCAAATCGATTTAGGAAGATTTTATTTCTTGGTGCTTCCTAGTAATTAGAAGTAATGATGAAACTTATCAAACTACATCAAATGATATGATGAAACTACATCAAATGATATGAAATGTTGATCGAATAAGAATCTGAGAGCTTGCTCACATTAGTTGTTGGTTAAAGATTTTAGTGTATGAAAGCTTTCTGTGTATTCGTGTATGTTTCTGCTACAACGGATTAAAGAAAACAAGATAAACTATTTGTGCAGACTTAAAAAACTTAGAGTCACGACCAAACAAAATATATGCAAAAAATCGATTCAGCAAGTTTGATGTTGAAGAAACACCCCTTTCTGAAAGACCAGTTAAAGCTGATGAAGATGCAATAAAGGCATTTATTGATGCAAACAGACAGATAACAACTTCGCATACGGAGAGATTGAGTTTATCGAATTCGACTATCCGTGATCTAAAACGCCTAGGTTTGATCGTAAAGTTTGGTGTATGTATTCCTCATGTTTGGCTTTCAAACATAAAAAAAAAAATTTTCATTTTTGAAACGCAAAAAATGGATTGTATAATGATCGAAATCATGGAGTAAACATGATGAACCGTTTTTAAACACATTGAAAGCTGATATTCATTAAAATTTATTTATGCTATGTTTGGTGAGATTTCAAGAAAATCGTTTATTGTTTAGTTTCTACCGGACAACACTATGGTCAATTGTGAAGTATACCGTTATGAACTAAAGAAATTTTTAACGTTTCACTTCAATAACTTCACTTCAGTTCAATAAGATTATTCGAAAAAGTGTGGTGTTGCACCGAAACCATGTGACACTCACCATATTCTCCAGATCTGGTATCTTTTGATTATTATTTATTCCGATTTCCACAAAATATATTAAACAGTATAACTATTGCTTCAATAATTTTGTAAGCAGACTCTTCAAAAACATTCTCGTTTTCAAAAGAAAAAAGGTCTTAAGTGATCGAAGAAAAAATGACAATACCCATCTCAGACCTATCACTCTTCACTATTTTCTGATTCTATAAAAATGTAAGTATTAAGCAAAAATTAGTAAAGCGCTTCTTCAGTTAGTTTTCAAATATGCTGGAATGATCTCTTGACATAATAATATAAATATTGTTTTATTGTAAAATATGTACAAAATTATTATAAGTATTAAAAATGTAATACTTTCTTTCACTTTTCAATAGACTGTAATAATGTATATGTTCTAATATGGCTTCATTGATTTGAATACAATATTACTATCAGATTCTTTCTGTTATGTCAAGAAATTTCTTAAAACAAAAGTGTTAAAGAGATAAATCATTAAAGTTAAGGCATTAAAGACTTTAATTTCTATATTATGTTATTTATTTTTATATAAAGAAATCGTTTACAGTGAAGGCAAGTTTTTCAATTACAGTAGTTTATTTTTATGAAATGAGTTCTTGGGCTGACCATCCAGCAGTTTCGAATAATAATTACTCATCATCAGTGGTGTTTGTAATATTTGCAAGTTTAATAGTCCGAATATAATTTTTAAATTGCAAGTGTTAGAACTGCACCTGCTCTAATTAGAACCATAATTAGAACATTAATTAGAACCATGTTAACACACAAAACTACCATACACATAGGTTAGGTTAAACCGGCGATCCCTAGTGAATCCACTTAGGTCTATTGGCCCATTGTGTTACCTATATATAAAAAAAACCAAGGTCTTAAAACCACCAAGATCCTTTGGCGAAGCCTCCTGTAATAGGTTAAGGTCCTCAACAAAGGGGACTCCTAAAGTATTAAGTAGCTGCCGTGCATGAGCTGGGCAAAAATATAGTAGATAAGAGGCACTCTCATCGTCTTCCCCACAGCTGCGACAGATTTGATTAAAAGGGAGACCTAATCTTCTAGCACGGTTCACTAGTTTACAATGCCTTTAAGTAAACCTACCAAAAGGCTGATACGGGCTATCTCAGTGAGAATTTTGAATAGCGTACACTTTATTTGCTTTATTTAATTATAGAGTTTCGTTATATTTTGTTGTTTACCCTTGCTGCACTGTGCCATAATTAGAACAACGATATAAATTACGGTTACATAAATTTACTATAAATATTATAAATTGTTGTTTTATACATATTATTATTAATATTATGGATATTAAAATTTCACCCAGTGGTTTTATACGGGGATGCAGACTTTAAATAATATGAAACAAATTACGTTTTGATATATGATAGAAGCGTTCTTTTATATACTTCGGAATATAGGTGGTCAAGTGCTACCGAACGAGGCGTCTTCCCAAGTCTAATAGATATTAAATAATAGGGTTTAAGGTATTTAAATCTACAACAAATGAAATGAAGTTTCTGGAATATACAAGAAATGGAGTCCAAGTAAGTAGAAAAATAAACACAATAGCAGCAATTGGCGGAAGAGGTAAAGTATGCTGAGGAAGAGATAGCTCTATAATATGGAAGGCGACCATAACAGAATGTGCTATTATTAGGAAGCTGTCACATCAAATTGGGAAAAATAAAATGCTTTAGTTCTAAATAAGAGTTGGCCATTGCCAATGATTGTAAAATTAAAAAAGGAAAACCGAAAGATTTCTTTAATTAGCCGCTCTATTAAAGAGATTTTATGTAAAAAACAAAAACAGTTCAATATAAATTGGAGAATATATTTTAATAATATGCTAGAAATAAATTACGATGAGAATAACATCTGGGCTTTTAGCTCTATGTAAATTTAAACTAAATTTTAATTATTTTGAATTATTTTTAAATAATTTTCATCAATTTGTAATAATGGTGATGTTTATTTTTACGTATATACTACACATATATACTATACGTTTATATATTAAAAAGGCACTATATTATTTGTCATAAAAGACAAGAACTGTCCCAATTCCTCTATATTATTTATTCTCCTTTAGTTTTTGTGTAAAGTTCCGTTAGTTTTAACAGCTCACCGCTGTATTGAGCATTTCTGCTCATTTATCTGCGTTATCTATAATATTATTTTAACAGTAAATAATTTATCTTTCTGTAAAATTTTGTGCATATTTAACATTCCTCTAAAAAGCTGTTGAGTGCTTTACTCCAATGTTAAACTGCTCCTATGTTAAAACGAAAATACATATCTTCTCCTTATGTTAGAAGATATGTTTATATTTTGAAAATTATACTTTTGCAGTGCGTCCCAAAAAGCTTTAAAATATCCTTTTCTGACAATTACTTAACTGTTATTATTTTAAAATTTCCTTGGACCTGTGCACTTCAACAAATTTTAAAGTGGAAATATAAAGTCTGTCTTTATATTAAAATTTTCGTTTGTCACAAATTCTATAGGATAACTTTAAATAATAATTATAATAATAATTATTAAAAAATTTTGACCTTAAAGGCAACTGGTAATTCCTGATTCATTTATAAGAACAACTTTATTACAGGACGTACTCAAAAAAACAATTAACCAATATACTAGATCTAATAAACCATTCTGTCATTTCAGGAAGTGAGACTATAAAACTTTTTTCAATTTTCTGACAACAAATTGCAGAAGCAGGATGTAGTCTACGTTGTATAAATTAATGTTATTCTTTTTCAACCGACTTGTTTGTTTGACTTTAGGCTTATAAGGCTTATAAAGTGTTAATTCTTCGACGTCTCGTCATACACTAAGCAACCTCTTAATGGGACTATGTTTGCTCTTGAGGTGAAAATGGCAAATTCTATCTACTAACCGTTTGTCATATCTTCTCAAGGTTTTTGTAAATAAACTATTTTACAACATCTATTATTAACCGGTTAAAGTGTGCTGCATATAGCAACTTAAATATGCACAATTTTATCACTTACTTAAGTCAATCTAAATATATACGTTCAATAAAAAGTTTGTCCCCGAATAAAGGAATTTAATCTGTCACGATTCGTCTTATTACGATCATTAATGTATCACATTGTATACAAATCCAAACATTTGAAAAGAGTTGGATCCTGTTTTAAGTAACCATAGTTTTCTAATTTATAATGTATGTATATATATTTTTTTTGTATTTATTATTTATAAATATCTTGGACCTAATTTTTGAAACCACTAAAGTAATGTTTAACATGACATTGAATTTTGTTTATTCAAGATTAAAACGAACAGGTTGTCTTCTCCTTCTAACCGACCGTCTTAATTGAACTGGCAACTGATCAGTGTGTGTGGACCCATATCACCAATCTATGAAGGTTATGCCCTGCCACACGCCATTTTGCGTTTGGATTTGGCTGGTCGCGATTTAACTGATTACTTAATGAAAATCTTGACTGAACGTGGTTATTCATTCACAACCACAGCCGAACGTGAAATTGTACGTGACATTAAAGAAAAATTGTGCTATGTTGCACTCGATTTCGAACAAGAAATGAAAATCAATATCTTATATACTACTTACAAATCATAATTGGCGAAAGTGGATTAGAGGTAACAATAAAAATTTGGTAACCTGTTGACAAATGAGGATCATTACATTGTTTATGTGAAATGCTGATGCAGTTTGAGAAATGCTCAAATGCAATAGATTTTGTAATGGAAATTACTATGAATTCAAATATTGTTTTAATATTGTTTTAATATTTTAATGATTTAGAAATTTGAATTTGGAGCACTGAAATTAGGAAATTTTGTTTTGCTTATTAAGAGGAAGTTAAAGTATCGTGGGATAAAATATTATTTCGATACTTTAATTGTTCTGTAACTAGAATAGTTACAAAGAATTACGTTTTGTAATTAATGTTTGGAAAGTGTCGATTGAAGCCACAAATCAAACAAAAAACAAATTTGGTAATATGGGAAGTGTACCGTGGGATAGATAATTATTTGCGACACTTATGAGAGATGTACTGTCGAATTTTGCAATTTATTAATAACGATACAAATTTGATCACATAGACCAATTAATTGGAATACTGTGAAGTGTTGGCGGAGCCAATGACGTAACCCCCGTCCAGAGCTTCGATGCAATCCACAAGGCAGAGGTGGTCGTCTCGTGGCGCATCAGCATTAAAAGTCATCAATTTGAGAAATTTTTCCACACGCTTGGTCAAACATTTATAGCTGCTGGAGATTTTAATGCAAAGTATACTCACTGGGGCTCAACGCTAATCACACCAAGAGAACACAAATTGTTTAAAACTATGCAGGCTAACAATTTGCTTCACGCATCAACTGGAGAATCAAATTACTGGCCATCAGACTACAATAAAGTTCCACACGTGATCGATGTTTACATATTTAAAGGCATTCCTAGCTAACTCTTATCCATACATTCCAGCTCAGACGTTGCCTCAGACCACTCTCTCCTTATTATGGAGATTATACAACAAAAGTACAGACTAGAGTATTTATAGAAGCATCATAAATGAAAATTTAACAACTAACATCTAACCCAAAATCGGTAACGATGTCGAATTTGCGGTCGAGCAATTCAATACAATCATACAGAATGCCGCGTGGAACTCAAACACGCATAAACAAACAGTTACTTCAAAAACGTAGAACGCTGCCAGACAAAAGAAGTTTAAATGAAGCTAAAAAAAGCTTAAAGAAACTCTCACTGAAAACAAAAACGAGAACATTGAAACATTCCTCTCTGGATTGTCTCCCAGTGAAGCAACCGATTATTTATTATGACGTGCCATTCGCAATCTCAATGGACCAATGCCACACATTCCACCACTCAAAACGTATAATGAACAGTTGGCTAGATCCAGAATCGACAAGGCACAAACCTTCGCATAGCATCTCCAAGGTGTGTTCCAAGCACACCTGTCCAGAAATGACCAAAACGACGCTGAAACTGAGGCTCTCCTGCAAATACTGCATCAAAAGGATTTTCCAGTCACAAAAACCCCAATACAAAAATTAAATGGACAATTAAGACCAAAATTAAAGTCAAAAAGGCTCCTAGGTACGCTACCAAACATTTGTCTTGTATTCATCAACCCAGTTTTTAATGCCATTATTAGTCAAGAATACTATCAAAGTCAATGGAAAGTAGCCCAAGTTATTGTGATACCAAAACTAGGTTACATCATTAGAGTTAGTAACATCTTATAGCTTCAACTCCCTACACACTGTTCACAGCTGACCACTTAATCCATCAACGTATACCGCAATCTTTGCTAATGACACAGTGATCATAGCTAAAAGAAACGATCCAACAACTAGTAAAGTTACAAACAAATCTAGACACCATCCAAGTGTGGCTAAACAAATGGCGCATTAAAGTTTACGAATTCAAATCTGTACAAACCACATTCACTCTTCGCAATGATTACTACCCACCAGTCACACTAAATAATAACGTACTACCACAATCCGATCAGGTGAATCTGGGAGTTAATCTTAATCGGTGTCTCACATGGAAACACTACATATTTACAAAACCCAAGCCACTGGGTCTGAAAATGCGCTCCATGTACTGGCTCCTTTGTCAAAATTCAAAGCTATCACTGAGCGCTAAAGTACTCATATACAAAGCTATTTCGATCTGGGAACAATTGCAAAATCTAATATACCAATATTACAGAGATTTAAATCGAAAATATGGTACTTCGTTTATATGCGGCTTTTCCATGGTATATCCCAAATAGCACTTTACAGCGCGATCTCCACGTCCCATTAGTGTTTGAAACCATACAAACAGTCAGCAAAATTATTGAACAAGGCTATCAAATCACCCGAACTCACTAGCACACGAACTGTTATCAGATATCAATCATTCGCGTGAACTAAGAAAATTTTCTACGTCGGATTTGCCAAATAGAACCCAAAATACATCGTATTAGTTGAGTGTTTAACTTGTTTTTGAATAAATTCGTTATATAGAGATTTTTTTATATGCAAAAATTTGTTTATGTACCTGAAAAAACTTGGTTATAGAGAGGAATTCGCTATAGAGACGTTCGTTATAGAGAGATTCGCTATAGAAAGGTTCAAATATATGAAAATCGCTGTGTCTTCAACAAAACTTCGTTATAGAGAGGAATTCGTTATAGGAAGGTTCGCTATAGAGAGGTTTGACTGTATATACTTATTCATCATTAGTTGTAATTTAATCTTTAGCGGTATACTCGTATACTACTGAGTTGCCCGTAGATATCTACATATCATTTTTTTCTATATTATATCCATAAGAATTACTGAATGATCTTTTACAGGTTGTATTTTGTTGGAAATGTATAATCATAATTGAATAGTAGGCTATTCTTATTTGATTAACTGTATTTAACATTTTGTAAAAATATAGAAATAGATTAACTTTTGACTTCCGATAAGAATAAAGTTAAATTGTAAAAACACAAATTAACAGTTGGCGACGAGGATGGGATTGTAAGTGGTTTCATGAATACCGCAAGCTTCCATACCCAAGAATGATGGTTGGAATAGGGCTTCTGGGCAACGGAAACGTTCATTACCAATGGTGATGACTTGTCCATCGGGTAATTCATAGGACTTCTCCAATGATGAGCTGGAGGCAGCTGTTGCCATTTCTTGTTCGAAATCGAGTGCAACATAGCACAATTTTTCTTTAATGTCACGTACAATTTCACGTTCGGCTGTGGTTATTCATTCACAACCACAGCCGAACGTGAAATTGTACGTGACATTAAAGAAAAATTGTGCTATGTTGCACTCGATTTCGAACAAGAAATGGCAACAGCTGCCTCCAGCTCATCATTGGAGAAGTCCTATGAATTACCCGATGGACAAGTCATCACCATTGGTAATGAACGTTTCCGTTGCCCAGAAGCCCTATTCCAACCATCATTCTTGGGTATGGAAGCTTGCGGTATTCATGAAACCACTTACAATCCCATCCTCGTCGCCAACTGTTAATTTGTGTTTTTACAATTTAACTTTATTCTTATCGGAAGTCAAAAGTTAATCTATTTCTATATTTTTACAAAATGTTAAATACAGTTAATCAAATAAGAATAGCCTACTATTCAATTATGATTATACATTTCCAACAAAATACAACCTGTAAAAGATCATTCAGTAATTCTTATGGATATAATATAGAAAAAAATGATATGTAGATATCTACGGGCAACTCAGTAGTATACGAGTATACCGCTAAAGATTAAATTACAACTAATGATGAATAAGTATATACAGTCAAACCTCTCTATAGCGAACCTTCCTATAACGAATTCCTCTCTATAACGAAGTTTTGTTGAAGACACAGCGATTTTCATATATTTGAACCTTTCTATAGCGAATCTCTCTATAACGAACGTCTCTATAGCGAATTCCTCTCTATAACCAAGTTTTTTCAGGTACATAAACAAATTTTTGCATATAAAAAAATCTCTATATAACGAATTTATTCAAAAACAAGTTAAACACTCAACTAATACGATGTATTTTGGGTTCTATTTGGCAAATCCGACGTAGAAAATTTTCTTAGTTCACGCGAATGATTGATATCTGATAACAGTTCGTGTGCTAGTGAGTTCGGGTGATTTGATAGCCTTGTTCAATAATTTTGCTGACTGTTTGTATGGTTTCAAACACTAATGGGACGTGGAGATCGCGCTGTAAAGTGCTATTTGGGATATACCATGGAAAAGCCGCATATAAACGAAGTACCATATTTTCGATTTAAATCTCTGTAATATTGGTATATTAGATTTTGCAATTGTTCCCAGATCGAAATAGCTTTGTATATGAGTACTTTAGCGCTCAGTGATAGCTTTGAATTTTGACAAAGGAGCCAGTACATGGAGCGCATTTTCAGACCCAGTGGCTTGGGTTTTGTAAATATGTAGTGTTTCCATGTGAGACACCGATTAAGATTAACTCCCAGATTCACCTGATCGGATTGTGGTAGTACGTTATTATTTAGTGTGACTGGTGGGTAGTAATCATTGCGAAGAGTGAATGTGGTTTGTACAGATTTGAATTCGTAAACTTTAATGCGCCATTTGTTTAGCCACACTTGGATGGTGTCTAGATTTGTTTGTAACTTTACTAGTTGTTGGATCGTTTCTTTTAGCTATGATCACTGTGTCATTAGCAAAGATTGCGGTATACGTTGATGGATTAAGTGGTCAGCTGTGAACAGTGTGTAGGGAGTTGAAGCTATAAGATGTTACTAACTCTAATGATGTAACCTAGTTTTGGTATCACAATAACTTGGGCTACTTTCCATTGACTTTGATAGTATTCTTGACTAATAATGGCATTAAAAACTGGGTTGATGAATACAAGACAAATGTTTGGTAGCGTACCTAGGAGCCTTTTTGACTTTAATTTTGGTCTTAATTGTCCATTTAATTTTTGTATTGGGGTTTTTGTGACTGGAAAATCCTTTTGATGCAGTATTTGCAGGAGAGCCTCAGTTTCAGCGTCGTTTTGGTCATTTCTGGACAGGTGTGCTTGGAACACACCTTGGAGATGCTATGCGAAGGTTTGTGCCTTGTCGATTCTGGATCTAGCCAACTGTTCATTATACGTTTTGAGTGGTGGAATGTGTGGCATTGGTCCATTGAGATTGCGAATGGCACGTCATAATAAATAATCGGTTGCTTCACTGGGAGACAATCCAGAGAGGAATGTTTCAATGTTCTCGTTTTTGTTTTCAGTGAGAGTTTCTTTAAGCTTTTTTTAGCTTCATTTAAACTTCTTTTGTCTGGCAGCGTTCTACGTTTTTGAAGTAACTGTTTGTTTATGCGTGTTTGAGTTCCACGCGGCATTCTGTATGGTTGTATTGAATTGCTCGACCGCAAATTCGACATCGTTACCGATTTTGGGTTAGATGTTAGTTGTTAAATTTTCATTTATGATGCTTCTATAAATACTCTAGTCTGTACTTTTGTTGTATAATCTCCATAATAAGGAGAGAGTGGTCTGAGGCAACGTCTGAGCTGGAATGTATGGATAAGAGTTAGCTAGGAATGCCTTTAAATATGTAAACATCGATCACGTGTGGAACTTTATTGTAGTCTGATGGCCAGTAATTTGATTCTCCAGTTGATGCGTGAAGCAAATTGTTAGCCTGCATAGTTTTAAACAATTTGTGTTCTCTTGGTGTGATTAGCGTTGAGCCCCAGTGAGTATACTTTGCATTAAAATCTCCAGCAGCTATAAATGTTTGACCAAGCGTGTGGAAAAATTTCTCAAATTGATGACTTTTAATGCTGATGCGCCACGAGACGACCACCTCTGCCTTGTGGATTGCATCGAAGCTCTGGACGGGGGTTACGTCATTGGCTCCGCCAACACTTCACAGTATTCCAATTAATTGGTCTATGTGATCAAATTTGTATCGTTATTAATAAATTGCAAAATTCGACAGTACATCTCTCATAAGTGTCGCAAATAATTATCTATCCCACGGTACACTTCCCATATTACCAAATTTGTTTTTTGTTTGATTTGTGGCTTCAATCGACACTTTCCAAACATTAATTACAAAACGTAATTCTTTGTAACTATTCTAGTTACAGAACAATTAAAGTATCGAAATAATATTTTATCCCACGATACTTTAACTTCCTCTTAATAAGCAAAACAAAATTTCCTAATTTCAGTGCTCCAAATTCAAATTTCTAAATCATTAAAATATTAAAACAATATTAAAACAATATTTGAATTCATAGTAATTTCCATTACAAAATCTATTGCATTTGAGCATTTCTCAAACTGCATCAGCATTTCACATAAACAATGTAATGATCCTCATTTGTCAACAGGTTACCAAATTTTTATTGTTACCTCTAATCCACTTTCGCCAATTATGATTTGTAAGTAGTATATAAGATATTGATTTTGTATTTAGAATTTAGTCTTAAGATATCTTTAACCGAAGTTAAAGTTGATGACCAATATCTTGTAAAATAAAGATTTTTTGATACAACAATAAATAAATGCTTTGTAAAATAAATATTAACCAAAGTTATAATAAGTCTTAAGATTCCACCTAAGTGAACAAATATATAATTATTAAATAATTTTCATTTATAATAAAATTT